ATATTCCTAGATTGAGAATAAATATAAAACATCATGAATATTTTAATTTAATATATATGGTAAAGTTATTAATAATTGCAAAAGTTTCGTTTTGATTGTAAAACGGAATAAACTTTAGGTTTAAATCCTACCAAGGCAACGTACAAGAAATTAAACTGCTCATATTTTTAGAATGCCATCTTCGCCCATATAAACGTCTTGAAAGAATTCCACTCACATTCAATGAGATTTCTTTCTGGAGAGTTTACAGGCTAATCCATAAGTGTGATGCCCTTGGTTGAAATAATCCCTTGGTGACCTTAGTATTTAGAAAGGCTGTGTTTTCTTGCTGAAATACAAAATGTCTTTTACATTAAGCTAAGTGTTTTTCTTGACTTCGATCACCACGAATCCAGCTTCATCTTTGGCTTGAAAACCTTCCCACATTCTCCGTCAAACGGTTGTTCCTCTTTTGAATATCGTACCAATAACGTTGTATTCCACTGGGACCATTTTTGGACGAATTCCTCAAAGATGAAGAAGAGTCTCGAGGCGACAGAGATGTCGTTCTACAGAAGGATGCTAAGGATATCATAGACCGAGTATGTGAACAACGATAAGGTCTTAGAGAGGTTGGAAACAAGGAGAAGGCTTATACTTAATATCAGGAAGAGGCAGCTGAAGTTTCTGGGACACATAATGAGGAAGGAGGGACTGGAGAATCTGATACACACGGGACCATTTAAGCTAGATTTCTAGTCAAAGAACACGACCTTCTTCCATTATTCCTTGGTTCAAGTTACAATGCAGATTTCCTAATGAGCTTCAAACAAAAACAAGCCTTCTTTTTAGAGCGAAACACAACGTTGTCTCTTTTATTGGAATCTCGCCGGACATACCTTACAAGCTTCCTGTTCGTTTCTTTGCATCATACATTTCCGAATACGTTAAATAAATTGCTAATGCCAGTTGTTCTATACTTATTCAATGTTTGTGTAATCGCACTAATACTGTTGTTCTTTTCATAATAATTCAAAATCTTTGCTTTTTATTTTTCCATTAGGCTGATCCATCCCAGCATTTGACAACAAACACGACCAAAATGTTTTTATGCGTGATGTACATAGTATTTCAATGACCCCTGATAGCTTCTATAATCTATTCGCGTTAACTACAACAAAATGTAATCGATATATTTGGAAAACTCAAAAAATATTTATCTAATATGTCGTATACTTACTTGGAATAGATACTTAACTGATTTAGGGATCCGTCCCTGTGCTGGTGGTATCACGGCTACGACTAGCTTGGACCGGCTCTAACCAGCTATGACAAGCCAAGACCAGCTATGACTAGCTTAGACCAGATCTGACCAGCTTGAACAAGCTGAGACCAGCTTCGAGCAGCGGCCCGAGTGAAAACACTCGGCCCCCACGTTAAAAACTGACCTTGTGTCACAACCTGCTTCGGGGGAGGTGGGGGCTGGTCAAGTAAATCTCTACTTACTTGGAATACTCAGAAAGTGGGTTGCATTTCTATAAAGTAACGTGTCAAAGGTCATTGGTTAGCTGCATAATATAGTATGACCCCCTATTTTTTATCCAGAAACGTACAACAACTAGACGTAGTGTCTCTGGGAAGAAGTTTAGCAATGGAGTTTCAAGTACTCTCCCTTAGGGTAGGTTGATTTTGCACTTTTTTCTGAAAATCAACATTGCACTCGATGCGAAAGCTGGGGTTTGATATGATAACTATTGACGCCAAAAATTAGCTTTCGCGAAATTCTTGAGCACTACACTGAAAAATGTACAGAAATATCTAATTTCCACAGGTTTTTGCTTACAAACTGACTTGAAAATTTTACTATTTCAAGAATAAATCCAAATCCAAATAAAGTTGATACTTTTTTGCATTATGCACATTGAATGTAAAATGTATTCAAAACTAGAATTCTAATTATGAATCACCACATGTAAAATATGCAGTTTTTACTGGATTAAATAAGTGAAAACTGTGTAAAGATTGTAAAAGATTACAAAAAAAGGTTAATCAATAAATAAGATCTTACAGCATTTGTTAGACCATAATTAATATAAACAAAATGCAGATATTTGAAAATTACATTAAAATTACTGCATATATTACATCATATAATATACTACATATAATATACTACATCATAATATACTACATATAATATACTACATATAATATACTACATCATAATATAGCTAAATTGTTCGGGGTAATTTCTCTTTGAAGTAAATGTATCTCTTATTTGATGATACAATGAATTAATAATAATGTGCTAATGCCTTGTTTTTTGTCCATTTACAATTTGTAAATCTTCAGTAGTTAATTTAAGTGATCTTTCTACACCTTGCGAATGTGCAAATAAATTTAGTAATTCCAACGACGTTCCATTTATTAGAACCTCCTGCAGTTGATTATTTGAAAAACCTGCAAACACAGTTTCACGAACTCCGTTTTGTGAGATGTTAATCAAATTTGACCAGTGTGTCGCTTCAGAGTTGATGAATGTAATTTTTTATCTCATTGGTAGTTCAATACTTCTGAAACAAAAACATTTTTATTCGAAAATTTACACATACATGGTTATATTTTTGTGATGTAATTGAAAGAAAAATTTTAATTAGTCTTGTAAGTTGACATAACTAATTATGTATTACTAAATGTTTACTTATCTAAAGGACAATTTTTTATAACCTCTTCCCTCACCTCTAATTCATCTGACTTCAACATTGAGAAAAGAATAGTTTCTGGAAGCAAAGTGAAATCAATGTTCTGTAAATTCTTTAATGTAACTTTTTGTATTTCAGGCGATTTCTGATTTGTTCTCTGAATCATATTGAAGATATTCATTTGTTGGTTATGGAATTTATTATTTCTTTAAAGTTAAAACCAACTAATTGCAGATATTTCACTTATATATTTTATAAAGTTGCGCTATAAAACTGATCACCAGATTTTATAAGGTTGTGCTATAAGGCTTTCACAGATCACCAGATTTTATAAGGCTGTGCTATAAGGCTTTCACTGATCACTAGATTTTGTAAGGTTGTGCTATAAGGCTTTCACTGATCACCAGAATTAAATTCCAACGTTACCATTTTGAACCTAAATTCAATCTTTAAACTCGTTTCCACCAGAAAAAAGGTAACGTTTATAAAATATATAGTGTTATTATGTATCAAGCCCCAACTTTCAAATTGAGAGCAATACCATAGTTCCAAAATTGATATGTTTTCCTCTCCCTATATCCCCGATATTTGAAGATAAATGAATTTACCTGCAAAAAGCAACATCCCACCAACATCCCATAAATGTTCGATTGAACTTTTGTCGGGCGAATGTAATGGATAAATCATTCATCAAAAGTTTCCATAATGATTATCTAACCAATTCGGAGCAACTTAGCTCCGATGATATAAGGGATTATCCTTACTTGAATTGCTGGGTACATGGTATCCATGAATGGATGCAAATAAACCCGTATATGTGCAATAATGTACATGTCACTAGTCAATATGTTCAGATGGATCATAAGATCCAACCCAACGCGATGTGAATACACACACCACCATTATGGAAACACTACCAACCCGCACAATACCTTGTCGACAACTAGAGTTCATGGCCTCATGGGGTTTCTGACACATCGAAATTCTAACATTAGCCCAGAATACCTTGAACCATGGCTCATCGAATTACGAAATGCGTTATTAGTCCTCCAGACTCCATTTAACTATGTCACAAGCACGGGTTAGATGTTGTGTCCGGTGCCCTGGTGTTAAGAGCGGTTGTGGGTCTTATGTTCCCGTATCCCATGGTGAACTAACCTGCTAGGTATGCGTTTGGTACGTCTTGCATTGAATATGGATGCGATATGAGCCAGTGCCCCTGTTGCGACATACACTTCTAGCCAAACGCCTCTGGTTAGGATCATTAAGGATCTGTGATCATCTTTCCACCACTTATTCGCGGTACACCCCTGACACCGAAGGATGTCAAATGTCCGCAAAATTTCAGTAATGGAATGTCCTATTCGATTGGTAATCACAATCATGCCGTGTCTGAACTCCGATAATTCACATTGCCTTACATTGAGCTGTATAACTCGTGTCCACTCTGACTGATTATATTTCAAAGTACACTGATTTTGGTCTGGGTATTTCCATAGCCTTATGGTACGATGGTGCCACCCACCATTACCTTTACGTACTGCCATCTCATGAATATCAGTATATATCAGAGCAGGTACCTAAATGATTTTTTGTCAAATAAATAAAATCTAATCCAAACATGTTAAAAACCTGATGAAATGTTGAAGACACTTCCCGACTCATTTCCAAAAGTCTTGGCCCTATTTTGTCACTGTAGCTGAAACAAAGAATTCTATATTTGAAATTGCTAATCTGCAAAGTTGTTCCACTTATTTCTGTATTTATTTAAGTTCATTGATAGAAAAATGACAAACGGATGGCGTGAAATTGTTGTGTTGAACTCTGGACTGAGATGAGGTTCCTGTTTCTACAAAAGAAAACTCCAACAGAAATCTATCAATGTATTCTACATACATTAAATGACAAATGCCCGTTCTGTTTAACTGTTAAAAAGTGTTGACTCACACTTTAATGTGGAGATATTGAAACCCAAGTTACGGGTTAGTGAGTAAGACCTTCAACGGCGTTATTTCCTGAAAATTAATTTTGGCCCTTTTCGGCAATTGATTCATTCATTTTTTTACAGCTTATCAACTCTTTGCGGGTTATTTAAAGCCAGAACATATTTTTAGATTGCAAGAAATATTTTGAGCTAATACTGATTTAGTGATAGAAGTCTTACTAATTAACCCATAGCAGGGGAAGAAGAGAGAAATCCATACCTTTCCAAAGGCTATTTGCGCGTAAGTGAATATAACGAACCCAACAGGAATTGGAACTCGGTTCTCTGATTAACAATTCAGAATCATTATCAATTACAACACCCTTACATCCAAGCTTACAGCACCTGGTATTCCCAAGCTGTCACACATCTAGGTAATGACCAGGCTCGACGTTGCTTAACTTGAATGATCCTACGGGGACTGGTGTTTCAACGTTATATTGGCCTCTCGACAAATCTTGACCAAAAGAATTACTGAGACACTAGAGATATCATGCATTGGGAATGCACAATTTGGGTGTGAAAATGTTTGAATGTCAACCAGAAACGATATTGTGTGAAAACGTCTTAGTTGATTTTATACAGTGTCAAGAATCCTGTGTCGGTTTTTAAGAACGATTTGCCTCCGTTGATAGAAAATAGTTATATTCCCAGGATTCTTATGTTAGAAATAAGTATTCAACCACTGAGAAGCATCGCTTTTGGAAAATTAGAGAAAAAGAAAAGAAATTCATGAGCGGGTGCAAGAAAATAAACTGGCACATAAACAGATACAGAATACTGACAACTGACAGAAGACAGTAAAAAAAAGGAGATAAAAATTGGACATAAAAAGAAGCAAATATAACTCAGTAGTTGGCATTTCAGAACATTATTCAAATGTAATGTCATTCGACATCTGACACCCTGAGCGTGTTCTCCGTCCGTCTCTGTATCCTTTCCCCAAACATGCCTCTTTACTCTTGTTCTCAATCCTCTGTAACCCCTTGCTTGGGGTGAATTGCTTTAAAATAATAGCTATTATGACAAATGAATAGCAATGAGCGAGGTCTAATTTCAGTAAGGTATATCAATCATTACTGTGAGACTAGCTAGAGCTGGGAGTCGGAGCTGGAGCCAGTAAATTTCAAAAGAACCAGAGTTGGAGATGAAGATTTACATCTCAGCTGTACAACCCTTGTTTCGAGCAGCGTTTCCAGGTTCCCACAACCATATTTCCATAGGCAAGCCATCAAAATCATTAATTATGTCCAAAAAATTAAATGTACTTTAAAAGAAAATAGGACCTTCAATGATGAATGGGAATTGCAATATTTTTAGTGTTGTCTTGCTTGTTTTGTGATATTGCAATTTCAAAAGTTAAAAAATACAACGCGCATCAACATTATGCTGTTCATTAAGACAATAAATACGCTAAATTGGAGGATGAAACTCGAAGGATTGCACTGCAGAAACTAAAGGTTGGAATGCAAATGCAGAGACAATTATTTTATTCTGTATTAAATTCAGGAAATGCTACAACAGAAGCAACCTATAAAGTTGCATATTTGCTTGGAAAAAAGGTAAACTTTTCAGCGATGCATGGTTCATTAAGGAACGCATTGTAGAAGTCGTAAAATGTTGAGATCCAGATAAAGTTACCAAATATAAAAATGTGCCTCTTTCAAGAACGACTAATACAGACCAACAGCATGATTTGGTCAGTAATGAAACAGGGCAGCTCCAAAATATTATAAAAAAGACAATCTATAATTTTCATTAGCTTTGGATGAATCGACTGATTCCACTGATTTGGTACTTGTATTGTATTCCATTCATGCAATAACAGACGATTTTCAATTATTTGAAGAATTGCTTCCTTTAGGCACCCTTAAAGGAAAGACACGAAGAATAGATATTTTTAACAAAGTCAAAGATAAATATCTTAAGGTTGGGCGGAATTTTAGTAAATTGGTAAGTGTGGGTACTGATGGTGCTTCAGCTATAATGGCTAAAAATGAAGGATTCGTTGTTTATCTAAAAAGAGAAACCACAGCTCCAAATGCACTGATTTCTTTTCATTGCATTCTGCACCAGTAATATATTTGTGCAAAATCTGCTATTTTAAATAACACCTTACAAAAGATAAGTGTTGTGAGATATATACGAGCAAATGCCGTGAGACATCGTCATTTCCAAAACATGATGATAGATGACAAAGTAATTAGTGTAGATTTGCCCTATCATTCAGAAATACGCTGGTTATCGCAAGGTTTGGTTTGGTTTGGTTTGGTTTGGTTTGGTTTGGTTTGGTTTACAGCATATAACCCTCAATGGGTTATTTAATGCCGACAAAATTTTTCTGGCTGGTAATATGTTTTTCTTCAAAAATCTATATCTGGGAATATTTTTCCTTGAAGAAATCTAGAGCTGGTCATATTTTTTTTTCAAAGAATGTGTAACTGTTTGTATTGCTGGTATTTTTTAAAGTATTGATGATAATAATTTTTCCTTCAAAAATTATTGCTGGTAATATTTTTTTTATTATTATTACAAAGTATTTCTGATATTAAAACCTATTTTTACACAAGCTTGGGTGTTAACTATTTGCCCATAGCTGGGACCCTAATAGGTGCTACCACCCCAGGTCAGGGTGGACATGGGAACACCAGCAATTAAGAGGCGGTTCAACGCTCCTCAAAAACTCCTGATCAGAGGCCTTGCTGTTGGACGTAGTTTATCGTCTTACCCAGGACGCGGATGTAGTTTATCGTCATACCCAGGACAGGTTATCGCAAGGACACATATTGATCAAAATTTTGTCATTACGAGAGCAAATAATTGACTTTTTCAAAGAAAATGATGAGTTTTGTGAATTATCAGAATCAAAATTTCGCAAAGATGCTGAATTTGTGTGTGATGTAATGAAAAAGCAAAATGAATTAAATATTTCGTTACAAGGCAGAAATAAATGAATATATGATATGTGCTAAAAAATTATTTCATTTAGAAAGAAGTTGTTATTTTTCATGTCCTTTTTTGCTCAGTCAAAACTGTCAGAAGAACACTTTGCCTACTTGTCGAAAGTAATGAGTGAAAGTGAAGAGAATATCTATGAATCTTTTCAGGAATACCCGTCAGTTTTAGACTCATTAACAGAAAAATACGGCAGAAGATTAAGTGATTTTGAAAAGCGAAACGTCACCCTGAAACTTGCTTTTCAGCCTCATTTAACGTATCAGAGGCTCCCGAGGAGTTACAAATGGTGCTTATCGAGTTATCTGATGATAATATCATGAAAACTCTGTTTGACAGCAAGAACTGCTACATTGAAATTTGAAAAAGGTCGGTAAAATCCTCGCCTTCGTGAACATGTACGCCGACTTATTTCATGTTTTTCTTCAAGATCCAGTTGTGAATCCACATTCTCGTACTTGGCATAAATCAAGAATTCGTTGAAAACACAGTTGACAGTTGAGTATTTGGAAGACCAATTAAAAATAAAAACCACCATATCAGAGCCTGAAATCAAAATGTTATCCCAAAAGAAGCAATGTCAAGGAATTCATTAATTTGTCTAAATCTCAATAAAGATTTGTTTGAACATGTCTTGTTTTTCAGTTTTATGTCTTTTTTTATGAGATTATATCAGTGGTTCCCAACCGATTTTGGGTCATACCCCACTTTGGTATTTCTAAAATTCTTGTGCCCCCCCTAATATTTAATTTCCCTGCAATTCACGTGAAGGAAGCTTAAAAGGCCATTAATTTGGTCTCTAAAGAAGCCTCCAAAGACCATGGCATCCATGAAAGAAAAAATTAAAAAAACAAAAGGACAGTTAAATAGATATACTTTCAAAACTTATAATAGTGAACTGAAAGGTAGAAATATAAAATATTTGAATGAAAGCTTTATTCTGTAATATACTTTAATTATTTTAATCATTAAATAATAATGCAAAATGATATTTAAGCACACGTTGGTATAGTAAGCCGAAGGGTGCACATCCTGCGCATGATCCCACCAAAATATTGCCATGCCCCATTGGTGGGGGATACGCCCCCCGTTGAGAATTTTTCGATTATTTATTAAATTCTATTTTATGCATTATTTACCTAAGATATAAAAATGTGTAACTGTAAAAAAATAGTTTGGTGAATGAGGGCCGATAAATTTCAATGTGGTCTTCATGCACAAAAAGGTTACCTTACTCACTTGATTCCATCTGATTATTTCCAAACCTTAAGAAGAATTCGAAAATGAGGTCATTGTTTAATGATTCGGTGACAGCAGCAACAGGAATGTATTTAAATGATCAAATATAAGAATTTTTGCGAGGTTAAGAATCTTGAGAAACGCGCGATTTGCATTTACGTTTCATGGGTCTGTCATGCTCTTAATCAGATCGTGAACAATTCAGCACACTCTCATATATATATATATATATATATATATATATATATATATATATATATATATATATATATATATATATATATAAAAGCAAGAGGTTGTAGTGGTTCCAACGAGAGAAAAGTATGTATATTAAAGAGAAGAGAAGAAGTTTTTGGTTGTAATTGTTCTTTTTGTTTTTTTTAGAAAAAAATATTATGCTTTATTTTCCATAATTTTACTACACGTGTTTCTGGTCTCGTGACCGTCTTCAGATAAAAGCGGAGATTTCCACATATTATTAAAAATAATCAATTTTTTCTTTATGTTTTTCAATGTTAAATATTTTCGATATGAGACATTCTCTGTTTTTGTGTTAGTAATCCGAATGTCTTTCTTGAATTGGCAATGAAGAGTTCTGCGCGAAGGGTCATAAAACAATTAAGGTTGGTCCAAGAGAAATGATGAATTACTTATCGGCATTTTATCTTTTAATGTTTTACTGACCCCTATGTGTTCTTAGATCTGTTTCCATTTTCGTGTGTTTCTGTCAGCATGCGTGTATATATGCGTGTGTATATTCCCCCTCCATACATAATGTCTTACTACGAAGAATTAGTAAACTCATTTGTACACATACACACATACATACACATACACAACGTCCGACCACAAGGAATCAGTACATACACACACATACATACACACACATACACACATATACTTCTCAAGCTACATGTAACCAGTATTCACATACACACACACATACGCACACATACGTACATACATACACACGTACTTCCTAAGTTGTGTGGGGTTTGTGTCCGTGCTCGTGAGTAGTTCCCCTGTTTTGTCAACATGCGTATATATATATATATATATGTGTGTGTGTATATATATATATATATATATATATATATATATATATATATATATATATATATATATATATGTGTGTGTGTGTGTGTGTGTGTATATCTTCGTGTCTCCCTGTATGTGAGTGTGCGCTCATGTGAGCGTGCGTTCATGTATGTGAGTGATTTTATCACTGTATTTGGTCACCTTGTGGAAC